ATATATATATATACATACATCGATGACCCCTAAATAGTCATTTCGGTGTTCACAATATATATATATGATATATTGTGTCATATATATTAGGGGTGAGGGTGGTGTGAATACAATCGTAGCAACGGCGGAAGTCCTTCAAGCATCCTTCAAAGAAAAACAGTATTCATAATGAAAAAGTTTCCGAAAAATAATGTCTTCGCCTACCGTAAATCCAAGACCGATACACATCTGGTCACTGTACATCGGCTGTGTGTCCGAATATAGCAATGACGTCGGTCCTATCACTTGATTCCTGATAGATAAAAAAAGAAAGTCGGCTACGATTTTCAATGGGCAGACCATGTTAATTCATGTCAGTTCTGTGGAAACATATTCGCGAAGCATGTACCTTAAAAATCGGCCGACCGCAGTCTTGGAAAGGAGTGAAAATATGCGGGAGGCATACTCAGTGAATTTTGCCAATGATACCTTGGCCTCATAGTGGGTATTTTCCATAGTGCAGCTGTCATAGGGAATCGTTTTTTATGCCATGAAGCTTTTTTAAAGACATCTTTTTCTTGTTTCTTCTTTCTGTAGATGACGGCAAGCAGTCAAGAGTGGTCGTCAACGTAGTTTTTAAAGAAAGTGTTGTTGACAAAAATTGGTAATCTTTCGAATGAGTTACCGCCCAAGGCCGGAATTGTTCGTTTCACGGGCAGTTTTCAGCTCGTTTGTGCGAACCATGTCCCCAAAACTCGTCAATATAGCAGAATCTTAAAGCAATTATACCGACCGTATCGAAGGTATCGTGGTTAAGTCCTCTCGGGGATACATAGACAGACTACCGGAAGAAAAATCGTCCGTATATAAAAGCAATATAGTTCATGTGGACTCGATCTAGCTACGATATTTTGGTTTGATTGTTTTCCGTGCTAGCACCCTTAGCTTAGACACTCGAACTCGAGTAAAAGACTAATCGAGCACAATCCCTCGAAAGATTTTTAAGGAAAACGCTAGTTGTGAGTAGACAACCGTAGGAAACTGACAGCTTTTGCATATTTAATTTTCCTCGAACAAATGTAGCAGGTACCTTTGCAGGCCTACAGTGGTGATTACATGATTTGCTGTTGTGTAATGTTTAATGGCCTGAAAACTTGAAAGCATGTAGGCCTAACATCAATGTTTAATTAAATCATGTACAAGCACTGCAGGACAGTCGGTTTAGCCGTTTTCTGTATGCTATGAAATTTCGACCTCCGGAACAACCCTGTTTTGTGTGTGCAATTTTCGTCAGATATACATGTACAGTTTTCTGTAAGTTAATAAACATACCGAAAACCTGGAGTGCCGACCTGATGCGGACCTAAGCACGGCTGACGTGTAGTAGGTCCTGTCTAAAGACTGGAACATACTGAATACGAAGTGATAGTTTTTGAGCGGTTTGTGAAACGTTTGCTGTTAAGGTTTAAGTTAGACCTGTACTTCGAAACCGTTTCGGTCACATCAGAAGCATAATGTAAGACAAATCAAAGACAAAATAATTAAATAGTTATTTAGAATCGACACTCGGTCGACTCCGTGATAATCGAAATACGACCACATCGTAACAAACATTGCGTTTCTTTAAATTTTATCTAAAAATACGGGATTTTTTGGAAGCATAGAGAACTACCGATGAGAATATATCGCGCAATCAGCAAATGACCTGCCTTAGACGGATCTGAGGTTAAGTTTACGTTTACGTTCCTATTACATGAGTGATGCTACGAAGTCAAGCAGGTACTTCGTTAAATTTCAAAATTATCAAAGGTGAACATCATCGTTTCATTCAGTGGACTCCTCAGGCATCCCTTGAAGTAATCTGGAATTTGCGGTATTAAATGGATGAGCTTGTTAGGGGAAAAGCAATGCATACGAGTCAATACATAGAAAAAGAGCACCAGAAATTAAGACGTTTATGTGTGCGGCGACGATTCCAAGCTGTTCACGGACATCGAAGGTCAAAGATTCATCAGCACGTGTTCGAATGTTTTCAAACGATCGATCTAAAGTACACGGGAAGAGTGAACATGTTAAATTGTCGACGATAGAAAACTGGTACTAGCTAGATAGCGTACTTAATTTGGCGCAATTCACAACTGAACTCGAAACGATAAAGAACTACATTAAGTTAAGACAAAACATTAAGTTCGAAAAAATCGAATTAATCTTATTATTTGAGCAAAAATATAATAAAAATCAGAATTAGAATATATAAGAATACATTAAAAAAATCCTAAAATATTACCGTTTCAATTGGCTACCTGATAGCAGCTCAGTGTTTAGAATAAGCGCATTGAATTGGCGCAACTTCATTTGAATGCGCTAAAGTCTACATAAAAACACCTACAAATTTAGAAAATAGTTACCTCAAAATACATAGCCTATTTTACGTGAAGGCAGAAAACTAACTCTTGATTAGGAACCTTAATGTATATACCAATTGAATAAGCACCCTACTTAAGTATATTATATTCTTATGAATGAATGAAAAAAGAACGAAGTACTTCTTGATGGTTGGTAAATATCGATCATTAATATATTTCTTCATTAAACTATACCTATTGCACAGTGTATATGTTGGCAAGGATGAACCGACGACTCCTGGCTTCCTCAACTTCACAGCCTTGATCAATAAATACCCAGTGACACCATAAGCGTCCGCAACCTTGTCCATTCTTGACCGGCATTAGTTTAACGACAAGTGACGTCGTACAATATTACTAAGTATCTATTAGTCAATGCGTAGGCTGCTAACACTGATCTAGACCATACATCTCAACTTCGACGCATCACTTATTCGCACGAAGCCTTCATAAATAGCGAGCCATCGTTCGAAAGGCGTCACTGGTTCGGCTCCCGCCAACGACATTATAACAATAAATTGAAGTCAGCCACACGCTGTGTATTCGTTCGTCATGGTATTGCGGCGTTAAACTGGCTGATCACTGAACCGTCATGGGATGGCCTCCTGACGATAGATTTGCGTACTAAACTTAAGAACACATCGTGAGGTAGAAACAGGGCTGGAATGGACTTATGGGGTTTGTTCGGTGCCTAAAAAGGTGTGATGTTTGGCTTAGGATGTACCCGGAAAACTGACATTATTGCAGTTCGGTTACGCCTCGCCCTGTACATCATCGACGCTTACCATACGAAGCAAGCTCAAGTACTCACTCGGCTGAACTACACATTTTGCAATCTCCAGTTTAATCCATAACAAACAGAAGCAACACACTGCAATATTTTTATACAAATACTTGACGCCTACTTAAAATGAGAAACGTAACCAGTCTAAAATTTCGGTTCCTAAAAGCGGCTCTACTGCGTTAAACGTTACTGCGTCGCTGCCTCACTAGAACTCTGCCAACCCCACCACTTACCTTTGTAAATTGGGTACATTAGGTATGAATGCAGTAGCTTGATCTATTTTCTGGACCAGTATCATGTATGTCTTGGGTCGAATATACCTATTAATCGTTGATTTATCGTTGAATATATAAGTAATGGGGAACACGTAAAAAGTGTAATGACGTTTCATAATTCACTGTTCATTTGAGTTGTCGTTTCTATTTACATTGTGGGCAGATACCGTGAAAAGAAAAAAAACAGTTTCGTTGAAACTATCCCTGTAAGCCAAAGTTGGCGCTCCTAAACCTGTTCCAATTTTCTAATGTAAATACTCCGATCAATAAGACTACACGGTGACACAGCCGATGCTCTTGACGCACTTGGGACTCTTCCATAGATATAAATGCTCGTATCGTAACACTTACGGACGGGTAGGCTTTCCTTACCAAATTTCTAGTCTAAACCAGTACCGTATGAAAGATCAGTTGACAGTCCATGTGATTCTATATTTTGTGCTAACTATCACCTACAACTTATAATTACAAATGAAATAGACTTCTATATTGGGATTCTCCAAATTTCAACTTGTTTTCCAACAATATATACTCAACGGTATGTGGGAATGCGTCAACATCAAATTGATTAATCAGCTCGTGATTAGACAATCACGTACAAAAGGTGGCCACCAAAATCGAACGTAACTCATTACGCGACAACATGTTATCCATATAATCCGTGGATACCTTAAGTTGAATTAATAGGCACTGACCAGTTTATACGATGTGCTCATTACACGCGGTAATTCCGATGTGCGCGATACTTCTGATCTAATCATGGCGGTTACGTATAGCGCCCTTAGAGGATAATATTGTCCTCCTGTTTGAAGAAATTGATAAAGTCGCCAGACGCACTACAAATAAGTAAACACTCTGCTTTAGATTCGAAACGCATCTTCGAATCTAGGCAACACCAGCCGAACTTATTTGTCCTGTTTTTATAAATCCACAAAGTCTACCTCCACTTCTTACGTTCTGATTAAGCAGAAATTAAGCACGATTTGCTGTCAGATTTTGCGTCACCTACGCTCATTTTCGCGGATTTTCGTACAATCTATCAACTTGTGCTGCGTACTGCACCCCTACTAACCCTGCTGGTTCTCGTTGTTCTCAGTTAAATCATATTTCAATCCAGTACAAGTAAGGGGACCACTTTAGTGCGGCGGATGTTGCAGTTTCTACAAACAGAAGTGGAAATTTACATTTATTAACAACGTTTTTCTCATATAAATGAATCATTTGTATATAATTGCAATCGTGTCACGTGGCAAAATGTTGCTATATATTTAATAAACTTTTTCTAGAAAGTTCTATTTTATCACGTAGCACAGGCGTACGGGTTGACGAACGCTGTGTGTATATACAAGAAGCCAAGGCCATGTTCGGCGCCGTCTTAGGCCCTTCCAAACAGGTATACGCGACGTATATATACTACTCGAAGTCTACACAATCTGCAGAGCGGGAAGTCAATGCTAAGACCACGCAATCTCTAACATTTTCTGCACGGATAGCACCTTATCAGCAAGCTTGTTTTTTTTCGCACCCATCTCAGCCTCGTAAGCAGCGATCCTTTCCCATTGATCGAACGTCACGTGTCGAACACCTAGGAGACCACAGAAATTACATTCTGCATAGTTCTTAAGGAACCTATATAACACGACAAATATTTCCAATGATATTTCATCAATAATCATCTCGAATATTTTATATATTCAAATTATTGCTAAAGCTGTAAGAGTCGGCGCGGTTTAATTGGGATCTGCATTGGGTCACGGCCTTGTGGCGACTAGGGCCGGTAAGTTACTATACTTGAAAAACACGCGTTAACTCAGTTCTTAACACGGATAATGCGATTGTCTACATAACCCTTGACTTTTCTCTACCGAAACAAAGACAGACAACTGCATTTTAAGAGGCTTTCGGCTTTGGTCAGTCAATGACCGTAACAAACCATGGTACCTTTGTAGGATATATAATAACCTTGACCTCAGATTATTTGCCACAAATACCAGCAGGGAGCAGGTTTTGTATATCGGCCTAAATCATCCGCTCCACTCAATAAGGGACAGCTGTCGAAATAAGAGTGACACTCAAATATCAAAAGTGGCTATCTTACAAATGATTAATAGATTTAATCTCGTATGCTAAATAGCAGTTACGTAGAAGGAACTGCAGATGCTGTCTTCTCGCAGGCAGAAAATCCGTACGTAAAATCGTTTGACTTGTTTCATACATCAGCGTTAATAAGCTGTGCGGCCATCAGACAACTAACAGTTAGACCGTAGTGAATGGTCAAACGTAAAGCGCACACCATTACCGGCCAAGAATCTCAGTTAGACGTATTTGGCCCTAAGACAATGACTAGCAGGACTAAGGATTTAAAAAAATCTGTCTCGAGTGGGTAAAAGCCAAACCCAAAGAATAGAGTGAAATGAAATTATTGAAAATTCTTCATGAGCAATTTATGTATGATTCCGATAGATTCGACCTGCCAGGCCAAGCTGTCTAGTCTCCCCAAAGATCCTAGAAACCTACTTCCGAAACATTTTAAGCTTGAGAAATTCGATCTTGGTCGAATTGCCACACCTCGCCTTGATTATCAAGGAACACCAAATAGATGACAGTACTAACACGAGGTATCCGGAGCCGGTAAACGATATCTTCCAAATTCTTCCATGACAACGTTAGGAAAGCGAATGTCCAAGGAACATATAAAAATCCAACTGCCCTAGCCTTTAATTAGACTTACGTGTTCAACGAGTGCATAACTGAGGTTAGGATCCATGATCGTTATTTCTAAAAGGAAAAAAGAATCCACGGACTCGAGGCCTTAGAAAAGAATTGCCAAAGAAAGATGTGTCTCTAAACTTCTGCGAAGTATCCTCATAGAGCGGTTAACTCTATTCCTGGACTACCGGCTTTGCCAAACGAACAGCATAGATTTCGTGCTGGTAGATCAATAACAGCCGTAAATTGTAGTAAATAAAATAGACGCGGAACCAAGTCGTTCCAATCAAAAGTCATATTCGATGCGAAAGTTCAAGGTAGCTTTCTCCTTGAGCTCGAGGACCACCATATTGATAAGGCAGCTAAAATATTGTATGTCGACGACCCCATTATGTACTGCACAAGCGGACCCTACCTGCGACAGTCACCTAATTAATTAATTAACTAAGGTAATAAAGCTCAGAAAAGCTTGCTGGCAAAGGTTCGCTTTTTTTGAATGGAACGACCCTCAAAATCATGAATTCGTTTACGTGCCTCGGTTTGGTATCAACGGCAACAGGGAGATGTTTTGCTGAAAGTCAAAAAGGCAATGGTTGCTGTTGTTGCAATCAAAAATCCACAAAAAAAATATTCATCGAAACAGCATGTAAATTATTTAGTTTGAAACTTGTACCGACTGCCATGTACGAGATTCCTTTTCTTTGGAAAAGACTAAGCATTCGAAATCTACCTATTTTAGACGGAAGAAAGCTGGCATCTTTGAAGCTACTGCTAAGCCTGTATGCAACAACTGGCCACCGTCTAATATGCTTATTAAAGCGACCCTCGAACGTTGACCAAAGGTGTGCAAAAGCCCTTCAACCTTATGGAAGCATACGATACATTTATACAGACTCAAATGAACTAAATCCTGAATCCCTATTAATCTCACCTAAAATTTACACCATCCCGAAACAAGTAAGCAGAAATAATCGCTATAAAATGATACGACTCGCAGTGCAGGCCTCTCATCGTATTACTTGCCAAACGTAAAAGTGCCACTATTCCAATCAAGTTATATCCACACATTTTATAACGCTTTTTGTTCTGGATAGCGTAGCATAATTACACTAGTTAACAACCTTGCAAACATTAACACTCAGCTAGTTCATACACAATCATATTTTATGTTGTATATTTGTAGCTTTTGATATATATTGTATATTTAAACAAACCATGTGTGTTTCACTTTGAAAAAATTAAGGGACAAGCACACTCGACTGCCTCTAAACTATGTATGACGTTATCGACGTTTGCTCATCTATAGATGCTCCATCAGGTGACGAAAGCCGAGGCGAAATACTCTATGTTTTTATAATTTATGTACGTGCGACAAACAGTTGAAGGTCACATTTGATGGGAAACGTAATTTTGTTACGTTTATGTGCGAAAGACACCATACATAACATCGAATTGGTAGCTGTCACTAACACGAAATGCCGCAAACACATCGACCATACACACCTTTTTTTTTGAGGATATCGTTAACAATGAAATTTCTCCCGGGTTTCGAGACAGTACCGTCGATCGCTCCTTTATTGATGTCGCTAAGCAGATTTGAGCCTGTCTCGAAGCTGCTGTTCATTGTTGATACGATGACTCCAATAGGACCCGTTTTCACCCAACCGCTGCAATAGACGCCTAAGAACGTACAATTGAAGATTGTAATGCACACGCGCATAATTCGATGAAATAAAGTTCAGTTCGAATGAAAAACCTCTGGTCGAAGGAGACGACACCAACGACTTACTCTACACAGGCTGTATGAATAAAGAAGGTTATTATTTTCCAAATACATATCACTTTCTGTAAATGTAAGCTTGTGGTAAACGCCTATTGACGCACCTGGTAGTCCAGTGACTCTTCCAGCTTCGTTCGCGATAATACCCTTTCGTCCGTCGAATGGGATTGCGTCATCTGGACAACTACTAGAGTAGCCGACACTCTTGAGGACGAGTCCTGTAGGTAGTATCTCTTCCATGCCGGTCGGAACAGCTATACGACCACCGTCTTCTAGTTTATTTATGGATAACAAGATTGAGCCGACGCAACCTTCTGCTCGAAGATCTTCTATGAACTCCAACGGCGAACGGAAAAATTTCAACTCGCAGACCTAATTTTTTTAATAATATTAATTATCCGCCGAATAAGTACCGTGTAATATTATGTCTTCGTATTAATAAAAGCGCTTAATACGGGCTTTAATGGTGCAAAAAGTGGATGCTAATTCGATTCCGGATTTGTTTAATGGAAATTTCTTTGTTTAGTTTAATGGCATTAGCTTGCCACAATTAAAGGGCTGATGCGGACGCGTTCATCTATCGATCTATCGCTATATCTAACTGCCAATTTCTTGTAGATCCCTTCGTAGTTATGGAGTTACCCCTTTATGTCGCACAAGCAACAAAACCTAAGCCTGCAGTAAAAATAGCAATGATAAAAAGTATGCATATGAAAGGCACTGTCTAAATCTTACTGAGAATTCCTAACAAGTTGAACAAAGTTTAGCGTCGCACCTTTGTCTTGGGGCACCCATCGAGACTACTCGTACGCTGTTCATTGAGTGTTTTTAACATCAATTCAGTCAGTCGTTTTCGGGGCCTTTCTAGTTCTGTGAATTGTCAGTAGAGTATAATATAACTTACGTTAGTTAACCTTATCAATCTTAATCTTAAATAAAATGCATCAAGGTAGACTCCGTTTAGAAACTCTAAATGCCAAATCTAAAATGCGATAAAATGAATTATGCGAACGACTGCGATAACGGCAGTTATTCAATAAAGTATAGAGAAAATCTCTTTAGTTGAACTTTCATTCCAATTCAGCTGCTTCATCCTCTCACGGTCTAGATCGATGTTTGATCCTATAGCTTTTCCCTACCTGATTTTCCTGTGCTCACTAAAGCTTTGTACATACACACTCGAAGGCTTTACATTTGAAATCTATCGGAAAAACGTACTCGACGTATCAATGCCTTTAAAGTCCTCTCTGTGTAGATATGGTAACGTTTGCGGTAGCTTGATCAACTCGCGGAATTCCTTGATTGTGAAGGCCACCTAGGCATATAAAGAAAACAGAAAAAAGTTATTTCGACATCTTTCGACAACTTACATAAATCAATTGATTTCAACATAAACCTGAACATCATTGGACATACATGAAGTAGTCCTCTCCATTGAAATGTGCTTGAACCTTTTAAGAGGGCCTGTTTCTTTCTCAAACCCTGCTTAATAATTTAGATCACGCTCATAGAGTCCTTTGTGTTTCAATATTGAGATCCAAAACAATTTAAATTATTAAAATTAAAGATTCGTCTAAAAAAACAGACTTTTTTTTTACATAGACATACTCTTTCTCAATGCAAGCTGCACATAACTTGTCAAGGTGAAAATAAGTTTTAACCAATATACTTCAATCGAACAACAATAGCCTTCTTATTTTCGACACCTTTCCAGCAACACACAACTCAATATAAATTCATAAAGTTATGTTTGGAAAAATTATGCAATGGTCGTGACTATTTTACCTGCATGGGACCGCGACGTCCGATTAGAGTGACCCGTTTAACTCGACTGTGGCTCAGTGCTTCCAATGCCTCTTCCGTGATATCCGTTGCCTACAAAAGATCCACCGGATTCCATAACGCAACATGCAAGCTCATACTATTCGTATACAGTGAAATTCATAAGTAAATTTAGAAATGATCAAATTTCTTATCGAGAACATATAAAGGAAAAAATTACCTTTTGAACTTTTTTAGTTTCAAAATAGTCAAAATACAAAAATCTAACAGCTGTTTATTTCATTTCGACGCTAAGGCATACGGGATGATTTTAAAGCCTGTGTTAATATTGCACGTTTTTTTTTTTCTCGTGGTCTATAGGACTCTCTTTAATTTTAATAGGCTAATTGCTCGATTATTTGTGCATGCCACTGCGGAAGCTTATATTACCCAATGGTAAAGTAATATCTGCATATGGTAAGAAAAAAATGGTCAAGAGTTTCCTTATATTAGTACAACTCTTGAAGCACTAATAAAATCACAACCCCGTAACGCCCATATTTTCTTCAGGGTTCCAACTTTCTTCTAGATCCTGCAAAATGTTCCAAGTAGTTCTACACTTCGTCCCTTATACAACGTTAGATATTCATCGCCCTGGATTACAGCAAAATACAATAACCTCAAGTAAAACTTCAAGTTTGTTTAAATAAAAAAATTGGCCACTATAGGCTAAACACTTTTTCACTTTCACGCTCTCGTTATTAGTACTTTTATTTTACGCATAAATATAGCGCACAAAAAGTTAAGCTGATAGGCCAAAAAAGTTACGACTAGCACGATCTGCTGTTATAAAACCGTACGCTATAATCTACTTGTCGCTTCTGTTAATCTGAATGTCGAGCACACTCCTCAAAAATTAGATATCTAAGCAGACTGCGATAAATGCGATCGATGCAAGATAAATTGTATATTGAAAAATATCTATTGGATCTCCTCCGTTACGGTAAAACCGCGTCAGCTAGCAACTCACTCACGGTGAGAGAAGTTTAGAGACCATGCATTGCTTATTCAATCCACTCTGCTGAAAACACATAATGAAAATCTCGTACTATAAATCAATGTAAACATTTTATGATAAATAACTTGCTATAAAAAAGGAAATGGCAGCAAAAGACATTGACATATTTTTGTACTAGAAATGGCTTTCATAAAACTTTATTTACAGATTTTTGCTCAGAAAGAATATATAAGAATTTCAGTTGTTTTGAGCTTAATTTATCTTGGCCATAATATACATACTAACCAAAGGGAGCAGGAGTTCGTGTGCTCCCCTATTGACAGGCTTCATCGTACTGTTGGCAAGCCTTCAGCTGTCAAAGAGTTCTAAAAGACATCCTTGTTTTGACATTACTTGATTAGAAAGTCGAAATACGCACCTTAATTTTGTCGAGGGGTGAAAGCAGGATTCGAGCAATGTCTAAAGCGACATTTCCATGTCCGATGACAACACAGTGTTCCGTTTCGAGACTTATATCCTAAAAATATTATAGGTTAAAAGCAATCACAATTTTTGTTCATTGGCATCGACTGGTTAAGTTGTTAAAGTTAAATTAAGCCGAATCGAATAGTTAGATAAGGTGACCTTGAATTCAGATAGTTATGCGTAACGACTGTGACTGTACTATTACAATTATATGTAATTCTTACTGTGCTCGTTATTCTAGAAGGATGTCCGTTATACCAGTTAACCAGTTGCCTTGCCGATATAACATTTTTTAACTTTTCACCAGGTACATTTAGTTGGCGTTCGTTGTCGGCGCCGTACGTCTGGAATATATTAAGAGGCATTTAGCTTAATGACCATTTTTGCGTCGTCCGCAGATGTTATGACCTGTTACGGCACAAACTAGAAATACTGACCGTATTGTGTTAACGACGCATGTTTATAACATAAGTCATTACCAACACTAAATTGTAAATAGGCATTAAACCCTGCCACGACTAACCCTATTAATAAAAAAAAGATGACCTAGTGACCAATTAGTGATTATTACATTTGATAAATTTATGAAAACCACTGATGACGACATATGTATGGGTGACAAAAATGTGCTATTTTGTATTGAGCAAAAACCTACCTAACCAAGCTTACCAAAACTACGGCGTGGTACGCTTCCCGAAATTCTCGCAAACCAACGTCGGCGCCCAGTTTTACGTTGCCGAAATAGTTACATCGGGGGTTTTTAGCCACTTGCGTGAACGTGTTGATACAGTTCTTAACCTCAGGGTGATCGGGCGCTACTCCATATCGAACCAGGCCGAACGGAACAGGAAGACTTTCGTAGATGTCCACCACTGTATTAGGAGACTGAACAAGATGAAGTAACAAGTAGTTGAGCGTTGTTAGCGCGCCTTGTCTCGGTACGTTATTACCGACAGGGATCAACAAAGCTATTATCAATGCTGCCTATAATTTGATTGTCACTCGTAAAGCAAAATCATTTCCCGCTGCAGGTGACCGCAAACAGGATCGTTCTCTAACATATAATTTCAACTCGGTTTTTAACTAATCAAATCCGTAAAAACGTAGGTTGTCAGCCACATTTTTTTTCTTTTTATACAGTTTTTCGTGATCTTTGTGACACACCGAAAATCATTCATTGATATTCCAAAGAGCATTGCTGCATACAACTAGAGGCAAGTAAGCTGCATGTACAAAAATTGTGGTACATAACATTGGGAGAGCACCTGAATACCGACATTTTTCGGATCAAACTAACCTTTAGAATATGTTGAGCCGTGTAAAAACCTGCTGCACCTGCTCCAATGACGCAAACTTTAATGTTTGCTTGCGTTGTGATGGACTTAGCTAGACTTTGTTGATGATTGCTCGAAGATATGGACAATGCAATTGCGGCTTGAGATGGCATCACCACGAGGGAAGGGCCCTTATGATAACCCCCGAAGGTACCACCGACACTTCGGACTACAAAACTCCTTCGGAATAACATGGTTCCACGCTGTAAACAATTATTGACCTGGTCTGGTGGTCCACGCTGCGCCTACACTTAACAAACTGAAATATCAGTCGAGAAATAGTTAACTTTATCCACTTGGGTTGTTTTTCTTTATGAATATATTCGGTAGGGCTTGATTGACAAGAGATCCAACCACTAATCGCTTCAGTATCGCCGATTTTTAATAACTCAAATTTACATTAGTGATATATTAACGATTAGTTCACAACGTGCCCAGACGATCACTGCCGACTTCAACAATGTCCGCGCGGAAAAGTTTAAACTTTCTGATAAAAAGAAAAACACCTTTCTAGCAAGACACCATTTGATAATAGCACGTGTGATACGTTAGTAGAACTAATGATATGTTATTATACGGCTTCTCTCTTGTAGCTACAAGTTCCTACAACAACAACATTTGTCATCAATATTAACAAAACAAAGAAATAGTGCAAATTGGAAGTCTTTTAACACTTTTTACCAAATGGCTCCTTGATACGTCTCCAGACTGTTTTTACCGAAGGGCAAGGCAGGTGTTACCAAAAGCAAATTATTGTATTTGCCACTTATAGCCATATGTTTTGGCTGGGTACAGCTGATAACAAGTTTAAGTTCCCGCCGCCGTACATCAAATAATTGCCTCTTCAGTACTTATGTGTAGTACCATTGTAGAATGCAACTGCACTACAATCACCCGACTGATCTGCTTGATTTACCTTGCCGCTGGTTGAAAATTCGCGAAAGATTCGAATGTGAAAGATACTTTCTTCGTCGTCAAAGGGGCAACGCGAGTAGGTGCCCCTGTTAAAGTTCCTTGATTGCAGTGACACCGCATTCCATGTCACCGTGTAAAACGTGCGTTAGAAAACTAAGACTTGGCCTAGGAAAGGCTAACTATCGTCTATCTAACAGGCATCTAGGTCGTGTTATCTCCTGAAGGGTGACGACTAGCGCAGGCTAGTTACGGACAACCTACGTCTATTGCGATTCGAACGCGCCCGTAATAACAGCAGCCTCAACAACGATACTAACAAACTTACTCTTATTTATTATTCAAATTCTTACAGCTATCTAAAATGTGAAACTTGTCCCGCTCCGACGGAGCTTTTCTCTGATAATTCTAAACTTATTAAAAAATGAGCACTGGCACAACGAGAGGGAAATGTTGTAAAGATAAGACGATTTCAAATTTGCCGCGCGCAGCACCTGCCTGTGCCAGCTCGTGATGGCTCAACGGTATCAATGGTGCTGCAGTAGTAAGACTTTTGTCTATTAAACTCAAGGAAACGCGGGGATTTGGATTTAAAATTGAGAATAAATACAATTAATTTCGTGCTGGAAAGAATCAGTCATCAGAAGTAATGTTCAACTGCAGTATTGGGCGTACAACTTGAGATATTTGCGACTTCTCAATGGCACTTCCCGCGCGAACGGAGACCGGTGAAGACAACAAGCCACTGCTCAAGAACGCACGGTCGAATAATGCACTTCAATGTACTGGCGTGCACTACGTATACCAGGTAGAAATTCATTGTTTTGCGTAGCATTTTTAATTACCAAGTAACAACTGCTAAATTAAATGTTTTATTAGTCTTAATAAAATACATTGGGTTTTTCCATCTAATATCTGTATTTCATACCATTTTCGTTCATTTGAATCAACCACACGTTTCTGTATTTCACCTTTATTCAGTACGCATGTTGTATACGCATATTTTTGATCTGTACAATTGGTTTCTGTGGTGGAATGACAGCCCTAACATTACAAGAAATCAGACATACATAGCCCGTCGTATTAGAACAGATATAAACGGCACGGCAAAATCATGCACCTTTCTTCACTAGTCCTTCAACTATAATCGCCATCAGTCCTCTCAGAAGCATTACCCTCACCCGGCGTTAGCTGCCGCGCATGTCTTATCAGCAACAGCACTGCTGGTCTGGCAAAACAACAAACGATCAGCGTCATCGATTCTTATTTAATCGCTGTTTGCCCCCAGGTTCGTTTTGAAATTTGGCGCCATGCGATGTAAACACTGCCATCTTTGAATTTCAAGTAAGGGGTACTGCAGCTCCCGCGACCAACGGACGACTCAGTTGTTGTTTGAACAGCCATTGTACTGTTAGATCTGCACATTGGGTCCTCTGCGTGGTGGTGCTGCTGCTGGTGTTATATTGCTGAACGTCGTGCAGACATATCGGCAGTGTGTGACCGTCACGGCAACAGCCAGCATAAGCGGGACGGAGTGCGCTCGAGCAGTGTCGGCACAGGCTAGTAGCATCATCGCGACAAGTAATAACTGTAGGCTGTTTTATCGTAAGAACCAATAATAATAGTTCAGCATCTGCAGCTAGTCTTTCTTCCGTACCATCGTTGTGGAGCGTGCGTGCGTGTACGTGCATTTGTGTTGAAGTGATGCAAAAAACCAACTATAGATAACGCTATTATTATTACTACCGTTGTTGTTGTTGTCGTCGTTGTTATTATTATTATTCAGGACCGTTCGGCGACGTACTGGTGCAACGTTGGCGCTCGCCGCCCAGCAACTGCTTGCTATCGGTAGGTGCTCTGTTTTATGAGAGTATAGCTGGTGTCGTTTCTGCTGATCAGACGATCTGGGCCGAACACGTAAGTCTGAGCAGATCAAAGAGAAGGGACTGCATCTTTCCTCTCGTATCGAAGAGATTCATATATATATATATATCCATCTCTACATATATATATATATATGTAGAGATGGATACGCGTATCAAATGTGTTTTCAGTAAACGATTAGTCGAGCTAACAGTGAGGGCGGAAGTTCCATTCACTGGTGGAGTTTTTGTTTCGATACATTTCCAGTAGGCAGAATTACGTAGCCAATAGGTTTGCTTTGTCTTTCCGTTGGGAATGTACTATTTTCAATGTGAACTCGATGACTGGGAAATGCACGCTACTCTTACGCCAATTTCGTTTCTATTCCCCGATTACGCGTTGCCATCTGATATTCAATTGTATTTGTGGTTCGGTTTGTTCGCAGAGTAGCTAAATGGCAGGGGCGCACTACAAATGCGATTAAACAGCAGCAGTAGCATAGACTCGAGGCTCGCTCGGGCTGCCTGTTGTTTCTGCGTGTAGGACTACATTAGTTCAGGGGAATAGACAACAGAAAAACGGAGATCAAAGAGGTGTTTCTAAGACTGCGGCAAAACCGTGTGTTTTTCATCATGTACGCGTCTTGAAAAATTGTGTAAAACAATACTACGTATATATGTTTGGATATGTTTTTGCAATGTTCTAGTGCACCTGCATATACATGCATGTGTGCATAAATAGTAAGGAGTACGTTATTGGTTGTACTAGTGGGTTTTTGCGGCCTTGAGAGTCCATTTTGAGTTACTAGTTATAATAATGATAATTATAATAACAAAATAAAGAATAATCGTAGTTGATTGGTGGCTGCTGTTATGACTTAGATATAAAAGAATTAAACGCCATTGCTATGAAGTATTACTTCAACAGTTGCATTGACTTTTTTGGTGACTTAGCGTACGTAGCCAGGTTAGATACGAGGGAAGTAGATAGCAATAATGCCCCTTTGGACAACCAAAGTTGGAATAAAGAGCTAGGTGCCACAGCCGGCTTTCATTACCATGATATGGCCAAATGAGGTCTCGCATATTCGTTTGATATAGATATTATTACACCTATGACAATATTTTTATATACTCGATATGCCATAAACATGATGATGCCTGAAAACTTTATCCATAGTTTTCTCAATCCTCGCCTATCCTTACCTTCTGATCCGCAGGCATGACTTAATTTCTGAGGATATGGTGTATTTGCATCGCCCAGGCTCTTTCCTATAATAAATGTGTCGTGATGCACATCATAGCTCCATATGTACGAAATGGAAATTGTTAGTCTTACTTCAGATCTGGTCAGGCATTAAGTTCGGCTACATGTCCCTGTCAAGGACAACATAGAATGTAGAAGCTACAAGAGCGAATCTAACAGTAAAAAGCCTTAGTATAAGGGCATCATACGAGGATTGGGTAGAATTGGTGATTTCGCATAATTTTGAAAAACAACATTGAAATTCGGGAAGCCCTAATATGGGAAGCGTTCGTTCAGTTATTACATATATCATTCCTTTCTGTATTTTCGTGTACAAGAGCAGGTGATTGTTACATGTTCTGTTGTCTTGCAGACATGCTGGTAAGTCTAGTTGTTGCAGCTATATGCCAAGCCGTCGTAGTTTCCTCCTCTTGCTTTCCGGCAGCGTCGTCTATAATAGCAGTAGCGACTGGTGACATTCTGTGCTTTCCTATGCGGCTCGCGGACCTCCAGCTCGACATAGCTCCCAGCAACGTTTGATTCTCGCTTCGTCCCATTATCAGCTAGCTGCTCCTGCTGCTGCTTAACAAGTAACATGAACTAGCCAATCAATGGGCCAACAAGCGTCCGAACGGACTGAGGAACAAGTCAACAGTGAAGCCGTTTGGCTGTCCATCAGCCTGCTTGTCCGTTTGCGAATGAAATCTTTACGTCTCTGATAACAGTACTAGCATTTCTCGCTGCTACTTCAAGTTTGTGCTACTACGAGACAACTCTGAGTCATTACACCCTAAGTCCTGAAGGAAGTCGCAGTAATTGATGCCGTTTTGCCCACCTTTTGCGGCATCGTCGGCTCTCCTCTACTTCCAATGTATATATACATTGACATATATTATTTTCTAGAACTCATAGGTGTTGACGAGGTGTGAACGAGAAAAGGAGACGTTAGGCAAAAATCCTGAACAACCACCATCAGGAAGGTCACGAGCTGCGGTACTACTACTGCCCAGTCGTCGTCAATACAACTATTACCATCATCGGCAGTTTCAACTCTTATGTGATGGCGGCCGCTTACATTGCCCGTTAGCGCAAGCCAGTCAAGTAGTCATTTGTGGTCGCAAGCCGTCAACTGACGTTGAAAAAAGTGTACTGGCTCGGCCGAATCCGTAACAGCGCCTTAGCAAGCTAGTAATCTCTTAAGATAATAATCGACTATCGCGTAACCAAGCAAATAAATGCTGAACAACAAACGCTGGCCATTGCGTTCTGGTAGGTTCGCTCTGGATGGGCTGGCGGAAGAAGCTCACTTCTATCGGCAGGGATATAGCCAAACACAACGAGCATTAATACAACTGTAGCTGTTCCTATCATTCCTCCGTTATTATCCCATAGCTCTTGGTGGTAGCAGCACCGCCGCCATCGCTGCCGCAGTTGCTCCCGCGGTCGTCTGTAGGGTTGAGAGTCACGAAACGCGTTCCTGGAATTCTAATGGTTTCTAAATTTAGCTGGTGCAAGGGGAAGACGTTTGCGGGCGACATGTGATCTATTGGCGCGTTTGTGGGCATGGACATAGCCACGGGACTTGATTTAATGACGTTAATAGTGGCCAAATAGGCGGAGGTGACGATGACAGCAGCTCGGTGTTAGTGTGTGGTATGTCCAGATGGGCTAAAATCTAATCCGACGCGAGGCGCTAAAAAAGCTTGGTGGAAGCAGGATATAGGGAAAAAAAATTTAGAGGACGAACAGGGGATAGCGTGTACTAGATAGGATGGGTGTGAGGTTGAAACAGAAAACTGTAAAATTCGATATATGTAAGCGTGTACCATAGCAAGATAGAAAGAACCGTCGAGTTGTAGGTAGCGAAGACAACCATATAACTCTTTACCCTACTACCGGGTAGTGCCGTATACGCAGATGTGTTGCTAGTAAATAGCGAAATACATTCACGTATTTACAAGATGTGGACCAATGCGTTCGGGAGCTTGGGAGATTTGAAGGCATGTTTTTTTCAAGCGATCGAAGACGCTTCTCTTCGCTGGAGTTTCTTCGCATATCCGCTGTTTGTCTCGAAAGATAGTTGAAGAGAATAAGTAAAAGCTCCTAGTAAATCGATGAAGCATGAAGGAACACCACTGAAGTGGGACAGACGACGAAGTATTTGAATCATGGGTTCCGCAGAGCTTGTGACGTCTCGGAACAGTGAGTGAGGGGGAAGGATAAAAAAATGAGAGAAAGGAGCAAAGCCTGGCTTAATAACAGTGGCTTTGCTCCTGTATATCTGTGCGTTCCTAAAGCCGGCTCCACAGGTGGTGTCATTGCGCGCGCAGCTAACCACGTCGCTTCTGGCTCAGTAGGTGGCGAATCACAGGATGTTTGCTTTCGTTAGACTCTAAGTATCAAAGTAGACGATGTTTTTCCCTCTCTTATTTTCCATTTACTTTTGCTATTCTCTGTAGATATTTGGCAGGATGATGATCTAACACTGCTACATGTTCCTCAGAGATCCCTTTTTCGCCCTGCGAAGATTTCACTATGCATCGAATAGATCGGATGGCGGAAGTGGCAATCGGAATTAGAAGAGGAGTGAGAAGGAGCTAAATCAAGGGTCAGCCGATGAGACCAGCAAAAGAGGCTCCACCAGAATAAGGTTTACAGTGTTTCTTGCTGCTGAAATGGGGCAGCTAGCCTCGTGTCCATGGTGTTTCCCTTTTTAACTGGTGTTATTACTACCCAAGAACAACATAACATAGGCAAAGGATATAGTATACACTCGACCACCCAACACACATGTGCATAATTGATTCGCGGCCGGAGCCGGCAAGTTAGGTGGGTAGGAATTGCAGAAGATTACTAGGAATTAGCGGGCTTCTGGGCCATGACGATTACAGCGAGTACAACGAAGGTGAGCTCCGTCGAAACATCGGCTATCTATTGCAAGTATGCATAGGTTAGAAATATGGGTTGTGATGTCTGAGGCACTCCATCACGTCTTAATGGACACAAGTTTCAACGATAGCTTTTTGACGGTAAACTAAGAGGTACGAGTTTTTGAAGAAGACAAACTTTTACACTTAGTTGCCTTTTCATTATTATATCCATTGAACAGCGGGCGCTATTTTTCTGAGGCAGAAACGATTAGGTGGTACGCATAACTGAAAAGCCACTTAAGGCTTTCGTGGCCAAACATAGACCCGATACTATATATAACCCTTCACGACAACTTTTCTTCGTATCAATCGCTCTTTCGTAGGGTTCCAAGTTCCTGCGTTTCACCCCTCACCTGTAAGCTGGTTTCCACTTTGTTTTTTTTTGAGATGCATGTAACCCGTTCTATAACGCCATCTACTCTTACTTAGGTTACTCCGTACTTGAAGAAACTCACAAAGACATAACAGGGTGATCTACAGTAGGATAAAATCGAAATATTTACATATCGTAAGCATGCAATTTTTGCTTTTTTACGTTTTTCTGTAGCCCTCGCTTATCATTGTTTTCGACTGTTTCTGTAAATTTGCTGTGGGAGTTTCTCGTTCTATTGGGAAAGCTTTCTTTATAGAAATGCAGTTTTTAAGGTCACGACCCGTTGTTTTTAGAGCCCTAATATCCAACCAACGACAAACGTGTTAAGCACTCACATTTTACAACTCCAGCCTCTTTAGAACGAGAAGTACTCAATAAACGGCTGCTCGTTCATAGGGAACGGAGTTGAAAATAGCGCTAATGACTAGGCAGTCTCAGCAGAAACTCATAACAACTAGAAAAACACTACTTGTAGTTCATACGTTAGAAAGCGTAGCAGTTCGCTGCAGTGTTGCAAAGATCAGCTAGTGCAAGCCTAGCGCAAGTTGATAAACAGCAGCAGCTTGCAGGCGCCTAAGGTAGAGTGGCCACATGTCCTGCTTTCATAGTTGCACCAATATGCCACAAACGATCGTGTTCACGAAAACCTGCGGACGTTTTTGAAATAGCTTAGCGTCTTAGTATGATCCATTGCATCAGCAGCTTTGTCGGGTCTATAGAGCGACGTTCGACGTTGACGTCCATGGGGTGGCTTGCGGGCGGACGACGCCAAATTCTACGACTGCTACTCTAGTTTTTGCGGCGTTGCAGCTGCAATTTGGCGTATGTAGATGTGTGGTAATATGACCCTAATTCTGTCGATTTTGTATTGTGAGGACCGTCGTTTAGTCGTTTTCGAGCGAGCACACACTAGCCTGTTGGGCTCATATCCACTGGAGCTATAGTAGTAGCCATACTCGTAATAGAAATAATTGATGGGTCGAATTGGTACTGCTTTCGATGCGTCATTCCTGCCGCTGCCGTAGCCGCAACCACAGACAGAACCCACACTCACTTTCATTGCTACCGCAAAACCACGTTCCCTGTAAAAGTTTATAACTCGGTCGCGTTACACCGCAGGGCGGCCAAGTGCGCGTGTCCTGGTTGTGGCGCTTCGATAGAAGCGTACGAATTGCCAGTTAAAGGTTTCTGACGAAAAATGGCCGCCATCAACGGTGGAGCATGCATGATCACTGTAAGCAATATTTATCTGGAGAGTTTAGTTACAATAGGAGTAAGATCTGTTCTGAGTAAGATCACTACAGGATGGCGGGAGGCGTAGACGGCGCCGCTGTTACTGATGATTGTGGCTGTGATAAAGCAGACCATTATGGATTATAGGCCACCGAACACCGACAAACGCAACAAGAACAACAAAATGACAAGATGAGATGTAGCATGTCCTGTTTTGTGCCTGTTATTTTTTTTATACCGACAACGGCAGTTGTGACGTAGTCATCAATATCGCCAACGCCGTCAACTTTACCTAAAGCATTAATCCGGAGGTGTGAATGCTCAGTCAGACAAATATAACGCCACAATTCCACTAATCCGGTTGGGCATATTGGTTGCCGTAGTGTGACAATCGTGATATTATGGTACATCATAATCGAAATAGAAATTCTATACAGAGATCTGTGGTTTCTTATTTAACCTGGTGGAGTTCTGAGAGGCAGTTTGAAGTGTTATTGCTAGCTAGCCTCCAAGTTAAGCTCTATGTCCCCAGTTTTGCCAACAGAACGCTGCTTCGACTCATATAACACATTTATATAACATCAACGTCCATGTGACCGGCAACCTGCAGAAACAGCTTTTGCTCCTTGTGGTTTCTTACTAACAAAAACCTATATAAATATATTACGATCGCTTAACGCTCTGACGTGAGACATCATTATAATTGAGTTTGTCATCATGGCGCTGCTGTTGCCTATGCAAGGCATTTTCTCGGCAAGCCTACGTAGGTAAAGTTTTGCTAAGGAAAAAGGAATACTGTCTACAACGCTCCTAAAGCCTGTGTGATGATGACAATATTATTATTATTCGTATTATTGCATGACTAACCTAACTAAGCAGAATGAGATGAACTAGGCTAATAGGCATTGTTTGTGTGATTTCCGTACTAAGTCAGTGGTTTTTCGAAAACCTGTTTTTTATGAGATGACAGAATTTTCATGTTACGATACAGTGTCAGTGTACTAGTTTGTGTTATAGTTGCACACTTATGCGAATGTATTATATTAGAATACTGTGTGTGTACAGTCAAGTGAACTCAAATTAATTTACTTGTTTGAAGTTCATACATCCACAGACCTAAAAGTGGGTATAAGGCTATCATCTCTGCACTCTGATTATTTTATCTGTAGATGTTACATTGTTAGTTAGTGCAAGCTTATCGCAACGATCAAAGCTTTTGGTTAATATCGGACGCTGGTTGGGCTAAATCGTCGGCAATATTTTTGTGTGTTCAACCAAAAGGCTCCGTAATGTCCATGTAATTTTTGACATCAAATTGTATCATCAGTTTGTGCTGGATTCATTCTATGGATTTGAGAATCACACTATCTGCGTGCAAAGTGTTTCTAATCAAAAGCCTTGAATTTTTCTGTACGTGCAAATTTCAATTTCAGCCACTTCAGTTCTGAAAATTAATAACACTAGTTATAAAGAAAATAAGAGTTGCGGCAGAATTTAGTCGTCAGATGTTCGGAAATTGCTCCTCTTACTCAACAATGTTCACTTTGCTTTAAGTCATTTGGCAGATGCCCTCGATTTTCTGCAATTAATATGGCTTGTTGTACAATATCTAGATGTAAGTTTTCTGGCCCATCGATGGCAGCAATCTGCATGCAAAGGAACAGCACGCGCATGCGTAAAACCAACCGCTGCCTAGCTTCTGATTTCCTAATGTAGTAGTCTTGTGCATTTCCTAGATTCAGAGCCCATACATGCCAGTATGTCGGTTCGATTCGTATTTCGTAATTTTATAATAATTATGGGCGATGTGCCTCACCAGATTTACTCACTGTTGACTATATCTAAACAGCATCGGACCCAGATCCTATCAACTGAATCGTGATACAATTAATGTAGGACACCGACCGACTATTCGCCGGATGGTTTATCCTATTAGACCACTCTGTCTCGCTTCCTGTGCTTACTGTGTTTGTCTTATTACCGCTGTTAGACCGACATTATTACCAACTGACGTCCCCCCTTTTAGAAGTAAAGAAAGATACGCAAATTGATGACTTGCCGACGAATATTTACGGCCAAAAACCTCTACCTTCCTTGTATTTGGCAGCTTTAAGAGTTCTTCAGAGAATAAAAGGGTTTGTAGTCAATCATCAGGCTAGCCGAGTATGTGATAATGAACATGGCACTACGTACTGCCACGTTAATTTAGCCGATCGAGTAATGCGCGGTGAGGTACTCGGTTGTGTCGGCTGTTTGAATCGATGCGGGCAACAAAGATAGACCTGAGATTTTCCGGCTACCAGCAGATTCCAACCCTTCGTTATATAACTATTAATAGTAACTTTCATTATGTTGTCATTCGGCTTAGTTTTGTACTTCGATTCGTTTTTTCACACCGCTGGCCAAGTGCACGGATATCATTGAGTTTCGAACATCGAATATAGATTGACATCTAAAGATCAGCTTACGCTTAAAGTCTAGAGTAGCCCAATACCGACTTATTCGTGGTATTAAACGCCTAAATGATTTTCGATTTTCAGGGCCAGGAAGTGGTCACTTCTATAAAAATATTTTCGACGCCGCTACGTTTTTTGCCCAGTTGACTCAACAGCTAGTGAACCGGCCGGCGCATCGCCGACCCTATGCCCGTCCGCTGGCCCATACCTAACGTCGAGTTTGCACAGCGAAAGCCAGAAGAGCGAGCTGAACCGCATAAAAAATATAGGCAAGCAGCCGAATTGGCTGTTCTCGGTTCGGTAAGAACCACTCACTGTCTTCGAACCGTCAGCCATTAGTAGCAGCTTTTAATTTAAAGGACGGAGCAACTAAGAATGACAATAGAACAATAGAGTACCAATTCTCTTTCGGTTGTTGGTAGAAGCTCATTTCTTGAGCCCTTCCTCGAGTCTTTTAACACTGTCGTGTACTGTATCGTACCACTCGGGGGGTGAAGGATGTGAACCCACGCAACGTTTCAGCCTTCTTTCATCCGAGCTATTTGCTATAGTCGCAAAGTACAGTGATTTAGCTGGGACTATTGTTGGGCAAGCAGCGACCGATCCCGGGGCATCCCTCTCTCTTTTCGACAATGTGCTGAACGTCCTGACTGAAAAGGGGACTCTAATGGAATAAAGGCGATCCTAACGAGACGAAGGCTACTTTTGCAAAACTAAAGTGATGCTCACGAAACTTTAAGCAATAGCGTCGATTTCGGGACGGAGTAGCAGAATTATTAATAACTTGAGGCCTCTCTTAGTGAGCATTGCGTGATAGTATAGTATGATTCGTAATAGACAGCAGATGTGTGGATATTTTATGTCAACTGCGAACTATCACCGAAAAGCTACTGCTCACCGAAGATCAAGGGAGCGCTAGCTAACGACCAGGAGTTAATAGAAGTACCTGGAGAAACGAGCTCTGAGAACGTATTTGTTTGTATAGCCGCTACAGATAGGTACAAATTGACACCCGTTCTCTAAAAATAACCGGTAATTTCTTACAATTATTAAATCAATCTCGAGTAACCATTTTATTAGCGTTAACCTACCGTATCCAATTTGTGAATAATGAAATACACAAATCAACCGTGGGTACTTTTTTGCTATGTTATCCCCAAACGTCAACGATTTTACGATCCGATTTTCCAAATTGTCGTCTTTGTTTCTGTAAGAACAGGTGTCTGGCAGCAGCTGTGCACAGATATATGCATATCAAACTAATAGATGTAAAAGAGAAATGATCTGATACCAGATCACGTGAAGGAGAGACGCGTCGCGGTTGTTCCAGGTGGTAAAAGAGTAACGTGACAAACTGTGATCCGGCAACCCTAACAATTTCGTACCGTTGCAGTAGCTTTTACGACTACTGTGAAACATGTCTAGCGGTGGTGACACAGAGACTCCGGTAATTGGTGAGCAACAGGAACACGATGAGGAGTCGACGTATAAGCCCCCGGCACAGAAAACCCTTCAGGACATTGTGAGCGCCGATGCCGAGGATGAAAGCTTACTCAAGTACAAGCAGGCTCTGCTAGGCCAGGCCTTGTCGGGCGAGCAGATAGTGGTCGAACCAGACAACCCCAAAAATGTGAGTGTCGTCATTTATATAATCGGTGATGTTTTTAAACGCACTTTTTCTTTGGAAGTACTGTACAGATCAAGTGGGTTTACAACGAGGTAAAATAGTGAAGATTTTCATGCCTATCCCTAAGAAACATCTTCAAACATTTGACAAACTGAGTCATAGTTCGAATTTTGAAAAGTTGTCCGTTTGTATTATCAATTTGCATAATTCGTTATGATTTTACTGATTATCCAATATAGGTGATAGTGAAGAAGCTGGCTTTGGTTGTCGAAGGTCGACCCGACGTTGTGCTTGACCTAACGCAGGATCTTGCCGAAATCAAAAGAAGGACATTCACCGTTAAGGAAGGTATTCTCTACCAGATCCGAATCGAGTTTTTCGTCCAACGCGAAATCGTCACGGGACTAAAATACGTTCAGAGGATCACTCGGCTCGGGGCACCTTGTACGTCTTCCTCTCTTACTCATAAGACGAGATTTTTGACGATCTTGCTAACTCTTCAATGAGAGGAGATAGCTATTCACATTATTGACCGTCATAGATATGACGTGTACATAAATTTAACTTTTAGATTTTCGTTGATAATGAAGCTACCCTTGAGGATATTCCCATTCGGTCTTCACATTTAATTAATTACAAAGGAATACCAGGCTGCTGGTAATGCGGAAACAGATGGTCAGCCAGACTGTCTCGTATGACACATGACACAATTTCTCTTTAATTAAATTTACTTAGTCTCTTTTCTTGAACTGCTGACATCGCATGTTATTTCAGTGGAGAGAATGTCTCAAATGGTCGGGAGCTACGCACCAAAGCACGAGCTCCAATCGTTTACGACGCCCAAGGAAGAAATGCCTTCGGGGATGTTAGCACGAGGCAGTTACGTCGCGAAGTCGCTATTTACCGATGATGACCAGCACGAGCACCTCAAGTGGGAATGGAGTTTCGACATAAAGAAGGACTGGGAGGACTAAGCTCAGAAATGCCCGTTGAATGTCTTACAGTGAAAGTGACTTGTCTGACTGGTTCACTTGACAAATATGTCAGCAAGAATCACGCCTGCTACTTGCATACGCGCTAAAGAGGCCTATATATGTAGAAAAACACGAAGATAACAACAGC